TGAATTTCATAACAAAACTTCACTTTTTCGCGGTACAATGACACCCCGTACTTGTGTTTGTTTGAGTTTATGTTTAGAAACTGAATAAAAAAACACACCGACGATTCGCTCCACCTCTAATTGTAAGGACAGACTGTATCAGTGAAAACAGGAAGCAAAAAATCAAGTTTTCTATAGAACAGCACTTACCATAACACATTAATGTAGCTAGGAGTGTTTATGACAACAAACTTGTCGATCAACTCGCGATAATGTAGACCAACACATTGCCATGAGACTCGGAATGGTCCTGAAATTGTTGTTTTCAATGATCAGAATCTAATCTTACGATCGGAAATTTCCGAAAAATACTAGAATTGGGTCAGAAGTAAAGAAAAATAGTGGAAAAGAAGTGGGTAGTTCTAAAAGAACTGAAATCTCCAGGCACTTCTGCTTGACAAATAGGAATTGTCATCAGCAAGTATGTGAAGATCCATCTCTTCTTCATTTCCATTTTTCAATTTTGTCTATGAAAAATTCCATTTTGACTACTTTCCACCTTTGCAACCCTTGATTGCGATTCATTGAGGCTTTTATTTTCGACTTGTATCCTTGACAACAGGCAAAATATACAGCATGCATGGATAATGTCAGTCTCACCTGACCCATAGAACAAAAACCAAAGTTTATGAATCAAAAATGGGAAATCTGACATTGTTTGAGAAAAGCATTTTCAGTAACTTGGTTTCTAGAGTAGATTAGCCGAAAACTTTGATTAGTGCAAAATATTTACAGAAAGCCTAAATAAAGGGAACGAGGAAATGAGAGAGAAGAAAACAGAAATTGAGGATTTGCATAATGAATTTTTTGTTTCTAGCAGTAAATTTTTACGGCAGTTACAGCGAGGCAAACCTCAGGCATGGGTTTTAGACCCACAATTGGCTCTGCTAGAAACTATGTCAGAGTTTTTTGGCACAGTTCGTAGCAGAGCGTACCAAGTGCCACGCCTATTTTTGTTTGCCGTTTTGTGACTAGTGGATTTTATACATGACATTGAATCAAACTATAATACACATTTTGGTGAATTTTCAAGACTTTAATGTCATTTTTCCTGAGTTTCTCTACACTTTTGGGAAACCAAATTTACCTTTCTCCTCTCTCCTACCAGAAACTTTTCTTGGAATACAATTTCGCCTATCAAAAACCTGTTGCATAGTTATGAATTTACTTCTCATAATTACCATGTAATTCAAAGTAATTAAAGTCATTTGGCCCACAATCAAACCAGTCTCATGAATTACCCTATAAAATTTGTTGCCAAACATTCCAAAAACATACCACTAAGAATTCCAAGCAAAGAAGGATCGAAACTCAAACCATCGAGATCAAATACATAGAGTATAGAGCACTGTACACCCGTTTTCGCTTCCATCTGTAAGGGATCAATTAATAATCGACCGCTTAGATGCAGTTTGTATGCTTGCCCACCTCCATAATCATGGCGAGTATTTTCTCGAAAATTCTAAATTTTTGATGGAGATATTCAGTAGGCTGGATCGACTTCATCACACCGCCAATATCTATTCGACCTGTAATTATGATAATCAATAAATCA